TTCTTCTTCTTCTTCTTCTTCTTCTTCTTCTTCTTCTTCTTCTTCTTCTTCTTACAACTGTTGTCGCTAAACACTTTAACTTTAATCGGGAACGGAGACACAAATCCAAAGTTGCGGCACATTTGATCCATCATAGAGAAATGAGAAACACAAATACGTATACAAATATATAATATAATATATTATCTCAAAGAATATGCATGTTGCTACCTGTCTTGTAAACGTTTCAATTCTTTAAAAAGAAGACAGAATAAAGAAAATCGATAAAGATTTTACGACACAGCTAAGCGCCTTATCGAAAATTTCCCCGAACCAGCGCGTGTCTGGCTGGAGTGTGGTGGGTGCGCGGCCTTGGAACTTTACGGTAAAAAATATGAATGGGCTCACGTGTATGCAAAAGCAGAATAATTAACATTATAGGTTGACTATCTTATAAAATCGTGTTTATACATTTAATACAAATAAACTGGCTCTTATATTTTTTTTAACACAGACTTACTTAAGGATTTTTCGGGATTGTAACGTTCTTGTAAAAATTAATTTTCCCATCGCTTGTGTATACATTATCATATCACTACTAACATCGGCCAAAAAATCGCTTACATTATCGCTTCTATCATTGTCAATTAATGACCTAATGCAGTTGTGAGTGCCGTAAAACTTTTACTAAACTGCTAACTAAAAAACACCGCGCGTCGTCTGTTTACCCATGGCAGCGAACATTAATTTTTTGCCTTTTGTTGAGCCTCACGGGAGAGATATTTGGTCGCTTTTAAGCACAAGGGGGCTATCCCGAAAAATTATGTTTTGAGAAAATCGAAGGCAAAGTTTTTGCCCCTTGTTCGGTTCCTTTAAAAGACAAGGAGAGTCTCCTCTATAACCAAACTAATATACACACCAATGAAACAGAACTTCTCCTACAGGTAGGGCTATGCCCACTTTTGGTGTAGGTCAAGATATCTGGAAACCCCCGAAATCTGGGTTAGCCCGCTTGTCCTTAAAAGTGACCAATTATGAAACTCTCATTAACGTTTGATAGAACTTACATTATCGTGCACATTTTTTTACTTCGATGGCAAAACTGTGACCCTTTCGAAAAAGAAACACGGGACAAAATGAGAACAAAATAAGACACACACCCC